GAGGCAGTTTTTGGCTAGATGTGATTGTAATGGACGAGGCAAAAATTGATATATGTATGATAAAATTGATAGGTCGCAGATTTCGAAGTTTATGCCTTCGTGGCTAAGTTTTTGACTGTCAAATTGCTTGGGTTTGTGTGGGATTTTTTTTTATCTTTCGATTTCCATTGCAAGAAGGATGGCCTCAGTTCATCTCTATGAGAAACTGATTTGTAATTAAACCCAATTTTTAAGAACTTATATTGTAAATCCAATTAATTTTATATTCCTAATATTTTTTCCTTTTCCATTGCAAGAAGGATGGATGGCCTCACTTCATCTGTATAAGTTTTATGAGAAACTTATGTTGGTGGCTGGGGCGGAGGGCGGAGGCTGCCTACCCTTCGGTTTTCTTTTTCCCCTGGTGTTAGGGAAGAAGAGTCGGCCGTCCCGTCCGGCCTGGCCGTGGTGTGGCTCGGTTCGGGGTAGTGTGGTGAGGGGTGGGGCTGTTCGTCTGACCTATCCGATTGAGGGGTTGTGGTCGGCCGCCAAGGCACCGGTTGTGGTTTGGTGTTTAATTCGATTCTAGTTAGGCCATGAGTGGTAGTTTCTGGGGTTGAAACTTGGGTTGTGGTCCGGCCGGTTGGAGGTCGATTGTGCTGTTGCCGTTGAGTTTTTGGCCTGGTGTGTTAGTATGTTAGTGGGAAGGGCGTTTTCTTTGTTTTTGTGTTTTTGGGTTTGTGTTTTTGTGTTCTCATGTGCTTTTCTGTGTTTTCCTTTTCTTTTGTCAGTGTTATTATTCCTTTGGGATCTAGATTTTCTTCTAGTGGGAGTTAGTATTTATTATCCCTTTTGGAATCTAGATTCTTCTATTGGAAGTTTATTTTATCATCGTGGGTGCGTTATGGTGTTTAGGCACCCTAAGGTGTCCTCTCATTAGATTCGGCTTCTGGCCGATCTCTATTGTAATTATGTGTGTTAGTTATAAAATTCCAATCGTTCCGTAAAAACAAAATATTGTAAATCCAATTAAGTTTATATTCTCCGTACAAATAGGGGTGGCAATGGCTGACACGACATTATACCGACTGATTGTGCTTTCATGGGCAATATATAACTAGGAGCCGTTGCAACACTTGCGGGGGTCGTCTACTTAGTGCTCGCTAAAAATACTTCTTCCTTTTTTTATTTTTAGCCAAATTTTGAGTTAATTAAACTCCTTTCAGTTAAAAAACTCATCTTATTCGCATGTCCTAATTTAGAAATAATTTTATAATTTTTTTCCCGAAACGATAAAGATATTATATAAAATAGCACAAATATATAAAGTACAACTACTAGCTGAATACAGACAGCCAACCGCTGAATAAATTGAGAGGAAGGTAAACACACGATTCGGAGAGAGTGGGTTAGAGAGAAGCGACTCCATATCTCACTAGGAATTCACGTTCTTAAAGCCCGCAATTCTTGAGCTTTCATTCCCGAATTCATGTGTTTATTAGCATTAATCAAACACTCTTGATTGATAAGCCACTATCCTGAATCCACAATATATGAATCATTTATTTTGAGCGAATTTTTCTTCATTTGAAGCCAATTTTGAGTGCGCTTGCAATTCTCGAATTAATTCGCCAAATTGAAGTAATTCTCAATTCTTGGCTAATACTTGGTGTAATTAATTGTTCCTTTCAACTCCACATTTGAGGCATGCAATCAGAGTTCCACTTTGCTACAAATTCCGCTCCATTCTTCACACAACAGCAACTAAGTATTTATGGGTAAATCAAGGAAGAAGCTCAAGTATCGGAAATTGACCGATGAAGAGTGCTCCGGCCACTCCAATGAACGTGATGATGTCTCCATTGAGGATTCGGATGAAGAACAACAAATCATAGCCGAAATGGAAACTTCATCTCCAACCTCAAAGGCCGCCATTAATGGTGTTTCGAGGTGGAAGGACGTAAGGGTGGAGAGTACTAATGTCTCCTTACCTATTGATGACATTGAGTTAGTTTAGGATGTTATTGGAGGGGAAAAACAATTGCAAGGGAAGTCTTCAACACAATCCAAAAAAGGTGAATACAAGGTGCTCGACAAAATGACACAAAGAAATCCCGACTCACTAAAGATGTCATTCTCGGCTCTCTTTGTTGACAACCGCAAGCCCTCGCTTGGCCTCAAATTAAACTACATTCCACCGGACAATGGAGTGGACCTTGATGACGACGACCTATTGGATGTGACGAGCACTTGGGGCTTTTGCCTTGTCGCGTACTTTACCCAAAGGCACCCGGGCAAAGAGGCGTTGTTGAGGCTTTGCAATCCTTGGGAAGTCCAATACGACTTCATCCCCAACGTTGTTGAGGCTTTTCTTGCAACCTTAATCGTCTTCAAATTTCGAAACGAAGAGGACAGAGATAAGGTTCTCCGCAGGTGCCCCTACTCCATCTACGAGCGAGGGCTCATCCTCAAAGTGCTTCTCAATTAGTTCCAATTCGAAGAAGACGACAAAATCGCACAAAAAATAACTGGAAACCTCAAGCCTCCGTCCCCGTTTGGATCAATCTCCCCCTCCTCTGATGGGAATGTTGGAATCCCAATGCTCTTAGCAAGATAACCTCTTATGTCGGTAAATCCATCACAACCGACAAGCTCACAGCTACGAGGGACCGATGCAACTACGCTCGGATTTTAGTGGAGCTCGACATCTCCAAGGAAAGAGTTTATAGCATCCCCGTCAAATCTAAGGAGAAATTTATGTTCGAGCATAAGGTAGAATATGAATATGTACCACACTATTGCAATCATTGTAAATTCATTGGACACTCTACTTTCAATTGTTGAAAGCATAAAGCCCACCTTGAGAAAAAAGCCGAGGGCAAGAAACCGATCGGAAAAGCCGAAACCTTGATAACTATCAAGAAAGTGGTAGAACACCAACCAAAATAAAAGGTGCAACCAAGCAAGAAAGGGGGGGACACTAACAAAGTGCAAGGGGAGAGACATAAACCCAAGGAGGTGGAGGTCGAGGGGAATAAACCAAACAAAGGTGATCAAGCGAATGAGGGGAATGGGAATTGTGATATGAGGAAAGAGGCGGTGACCATTACCTCGGATGTCGGTTCTTCCTCATCTCCAACCGGGGACTCGGAGCCCCAAAACTATGAGAACCCTCCTCCGGATAATGAAAATGACTCTTTCCAAGTTGTAGAGAAGTACAACAAGATACTCACCCGAAGTGGAGGCGCGAGCCAAGCCTCCGCAACTTCGGGTCAACACTCCAAGCTAGAGACAAACCAAGCAGGAGGAAAGATGGGGGCTAGGGAAATTCGGTGAAGAAGGGGGGCCACCCCTCCTCCTCTCAATGATCATCGCCTCATGGAACATTAGGTGCTTTAACGGGCCCCTAAAACAAGATGAGGTGGTAAACCTCATCCGGAGAAATAACACTGATGTTTTGGGACTTTTGGAAACGAAAACCGACAATAGGCGTCTTGCTCTCTTTATGTGTAGGAGGTTGTCGGGTTGGGCTTTTTGTGAAAATTTTGACGTTGTTGCTCGTGGGTGTATTTTCGTCATTTGGAACCACGCGAGAGTGGACATTACGGTGGAGGGCACTTTGCCTCAAGTCATCTTTACGAACATCCATTGTAAGGTTAGTAACCACTCTTTTATTACACTAGCTTTGTCTGTGGACTTCATTCGAGAGGTGACCGGAAACTATAATGGAATGAGCTTAAGGCCTCTCGGGAGAGGTATCTCTTTATCTTGGTTGCTACTCGGGAACTTTAATGTTATTCTCAAATCGGAGGAAAGAAAAAAAGGGGAGAGAGTTACTAACCGGGACATTATGGATTTCTTTGAAGCTTGTGATATCTTGGGGCTATCGGACATCCCCTCAAGTGGTTTCTTTCACACTTGGACCAATAACCATGTTTGGTCCAAGCTTGATAGGGCCATGGTGGATCCTCTTTGGGAGAATGTCGATTTCTTCTCACATGCCACATTCATCGCTCCGGGTATATCCAATCACTCGCCTTGTATTGTGACGATCTTTGAGGCCGGAGCCAATCGTGGGTCACCTTGGCGCTTCTTCAACATGTGGACGATTCATGAGAATTTCTTGCCGTGTGTTCGTGACACTTGGAGCTAAGGTGGTGGGGGATCGAGACAATTCCGCCTCACCATCAAATTAAAGAACCTCAAGAGCTCGCTAAAGGTTCTCAATGAGAAAGCTTACTCCCACATTTCTTGCCGAGCCAAAGTAGCCAAAATGCACTTGAAGAAGCGCAACAAAGGCTCCATGATCACCCGAACGATCCCTATATCAAGTTTAGGATGCCCTCTCTTAGACTCAAGCACTCAATTTGGCTAAAGCGGAGAAACTCTTTTATCAACAAAAGGCCAAACGCAACTTTCAAATAAAGGGTGATAAATGCACCAAATTCTACCACAGCTTGGTTAAGAAGATAGCAAAACGAAACTACATTGCATCATTTAATCGAGAGGATGGCACCGTGACTGAATCCACGAAGGATGTTGTCAAGGAATTCATTAGCTACTACGAGGCTCTCTTGGGAACCGGAGTAGAAACGGAGGACGTGGACCCCCAAATCCTTAGAGCGGGACCTTGTGTTAGCGCTGAGCATTGTAGCTCTCTTATTGCCCCGGTGACCGAGGCCGAAATCAAGTCCACCCTTAGAGACATAGAGGGAGATAAATCCCCGGGCCCGGATGGCTA